CTGCCAAACAGACACGAAGTATGACGTCCCAACAAGCTTTCCTTGCAACTTGCGCAAAATGCAACCGCACGGCCAGTAGTGCCAGATGTCACCAGCATGCAACCTGTGATTCCCTTTTGGGGCGTCGCAAACCCTTGTCTCAGCTCAGAGAGCTGAGAAGTTGAGAAGTCCTTCCCGAATTGGTTGGACTGCACTCTTCCAGCAATGAGCAATATGCCACTGCAACAATATGCAATGCTGTAGGATGTAGAGAGAGAAGTTCAAAAGAGCATAACAATACCATCACATACTCTTGGCCCTGTCAGAGGTACTACACAACCTTGACTAGTCCAATGGCCCTTCAGGCACACCGCGCGGAGGGCCACCTGGGTGGGCAACATCTACAGGTAAGAGCGGCCAGGACTGGTTTCCTGAGCCGCCCGCCCTGCTTGGAATCACTCCAGCTAGTGTCCTTGCTTGTAGAAAGCATAGAAAGCATAGAAAGCACAGACTGCAGACGGGCTCACAAGAAAGCCTCCACCGCATTGCTACTCGCCAGCAAGCTCACCAAAGGTTTTCACATTCCATCCAACAGCCCAATGGCACCACTTTCATCACGCTGCACTGCTTTCTGACAACAATCAGAATTGCCAAGCCTGAAAGGCGAGATGCCAAGCGAAGCACCAACCCAAAGTGCCAAGAGAAGAAAGCGAAAGCGCCGAGAGAAGTAAGCAAAGCAAGCGAAATGCCAAGCAAGCTTCGTCCAAAGCGCCGTCCAGCAAGTCTGGGTCAGAGCGGCCCTCCTGAAGAGCGCAGATTTCCACATGGTTGGACTTGTTTTTACAAAAATCGTATGAAATCGAAAGCACCTTTGGAGGCCGCACGCCGACCCCACCTGCATATTCAGAACATTGAAGCCGCTTCAAAGAAGAACCCTTTCGAGGCCAGGCGTGCAGAGCAACCCCAATGCACACCTCCCATAGACCATGCATCCTCACCTGCAAAGTGTTGAGGTACGAACCTGGCAGCTCTCAATGTCTTGGCACTCGGCACAGAGCAAGGCGATACACGGAGCTACACGGCGCACTCGTCCAGGTGCTCAGTCTCATCATCGCCAATGACGAAAGCGTCAAAGCCTTTTTTCCGAGCACTTGTCAAGCACCCTCAGCAACTAGCTCACATCGATCGGGACAAACGGTGAACCGTGAACTTAACTTGTCACTGCAATGAAACAGAGACAGTTTGAAAAGGCCCTTCCGCCCAATGGAACGCAACTCTGCAGATGCTGAATCAGACTCATGTTCATATATGTACCACAGTGCATCATGCAGTGCCTGCATCTTCGCCGGTCTGGCCAACGATCTGTGGCGGCCTCAAGCAGTCATCTGTAGTCTCGCATTTACCATGCAAGTAAATGGCCTGAGCCAGTCTGGGATCACAGCATCCCAGATTCCTCGTCCTCTTTGAGCTTCACATGCCTGTGACAAGCACCGTCTGAAAAGTCATGACATGTACATGTCCATGGCAACTACCCGTTTGAGGCTCTATCTCGCCTGTGCTTCTCGGGGACCTTGAAGCAAACTTTGCGGATCAGAAAGAGGCAGAGGCAAGCCTTGGCACATTGAATCATGTTCGCGGGTTCTTCATGATATAATATGAGCTCATTCCAACTCGGTGTCAGGCGACCAGGATCCCAACGGCCATGGCCCCAACGAAGTGCAGGGGATCTTGTCCGAGAAATCGAGCAGGTATGGCGCCCTGCCACTGAAAGTGATCCAAGCGTGGCTGTTGTGGAGGCTCGGTGGTCCTGCTCGGAAGTTGGGGCGGTGGTGCTGCGTGGCACTGTACTTTTGACCTTCAGTGCTGAACTGAAGTGTGCTGACATCATGGCAACCACAAGAGCGCGACGTCTATGCAAATATATATATAAATATATATATGTATATGTATATATCTATATATGTATATATAGATATAATGAGTCGCTTTAAGTGAAATATCATCCTAGTCCTTCTCCTCAGCCGCGCGAGCACTAGCATCAGCATTAACAGCGGTAGCAAACAGAGTAGCAAGCAGCAGCGGCAGCAGCAGCAGTTGTAGCGACAGAAGCAGCAGTAGCGGCAGCCGCACTACCAGGGATGCACAGAGTTTCATGTACGCAGCTGTGCCGGCCATTGTCAGTGGCAGAAGTCAATCTGTAGGGGTCAGCCAAGCCCCCGTGCGCTGGGAGTCGGCAGCCTTTGGCTCCAAAGTGCGAGAGCTTGCAACACCCCTTTGATCCCTTCTGTTCAACTTTACCACCTGCATCTCTCTAATCATTCCCCCTGCACCCAAGCTGTGGGTCACGCTCGCTGTGAAGCTGCGGTCCCGTCAGAGCAGGGCTCACCTGGGAGTTTTCGCTGTGGTCTTCTTGAGGTCTTGCTGCCATCTTCTTGCATTCTGCTCAAGTCCCTTGCCTTTGCCTGAGGTGCTGACGGTGCTGGTGCTAGGGCTGCCAAGGTTGCCAAGGCTCACAAAGCCGCTTGAGGACACTGGAGACGCTTGACTTGTACTCGGGGCCGTGGTCTCTACTGCAGGGGCCGTGGAAGCGTGCGTGGACGATGTTGTGGTTGGAAGTGTAGATGTGGTCACTGACGTTGCAGCCATGGAGGTGGTTGTCGATGTCGGGATAGACGAGGCCTTCGCGAATGATCAAAAGAACAGCACTCCCGAATTTTCAGGAACTACGAAAAAAAGTTGCAGCAGCCGCTCCTGAGCTACATGAGCTGGTCGGTCTTTGTAATGAGGGCCTCGACTGCTACATCTCAAAAAGCTCCATGGCAGGACTGAGTTTCACCAGTTGAGACGCCAACAGTTTGCTGCAGCAATACCAACCTCATTCTTCTCCATATCGAAAATGATGTCCTGCACTCGAAACACCATTCTGGCGAGCGAAAAATGGGATTGAAAACGCGTCTGCGAGGCCAGCTTGCTCCCAAAACCAAGGAATGGGCTGGCCTGGTGCGTCATCCAAACAGCCCCCAGCACGGTGTTTGCATGGGGCCCGTCGTCTTCGAAGCCATAGCAATAAGTGTCGCTGGTTCCTTTCCTGGACATGGGTTCATCAACGGCAACTCGATGTTTTACAAAGCGCTGCGCCTGTAGAAGTAGGCTCTTGGAACCCACTTTGTTTCCACGCCATCAAAAACAACGGCGATGTGGGGAAACCTGGAGCAAAACCGTGCTGCATGGACGGAACTACATGTACTGGCTAAAAGCGGAGAGTCGCTGGTCAGGTCCATGTGGCAACGACCAGCACTTTGTGCCATGCTTTGTTCCACCACATTGGTGGCCTGCGCCAGGCCAAGTTTTTCACACAAGTCTGACAGAGTTCGATTTTCAACACGACAGCGGCCTCGGCAATACGTTTCAATGGCGCTCATCAGCGCTCTGTAGTTGCTTGAACGCATGTACGTGTACCTGCACTCTCCCCGCCCTCCCACTCAGAGAACCAAAACGCCAACAAGGATCATGCAACCCGTGAGAACATACAAAGCAACATCTCTTCTAGAAGAAGCACAACGCATGGGGTGGACTTCAGCAGCACACTCCATCCCGCAACCACTCTAGATTGTGGTACATGAGCTACTGGGTTTGGCTGGGCTGTGCTGGGAAATTGACTCGCCGGATGAGCTAGTGCTGGATTGGCCAGGTGTTGACTGGAACTGTGCTTGCCATCACCATTTGTTAGCACAACATCGCTTTGTCTTTTGGAAAAGTCGGCCGTCTGGGCTTCGTTGCAGGTTCTGGTGCCGCAGTCTTCATCGTGGAATTCGAGGTTTCGCATCGTCCGGCGCCCACACTCGCATAGGTCCTGCGCACCTTCCGTGATCCAAATCGTGTGCGCGACGCGATCAATGGTGCCTACCAAGCACCATCATGCCCAATACAACCCCACACCTCTTCAATTGCTGCACACTACTTTTAAGCCGGAAAGCATGGATCCGGAACCTTAAGCCCTGAGGATCAGTCATCAGAACAAACCGCCGAAACTCAAAACCCTCAGGCCCCATTACAAAAGAGCGTCCCGGCCCAAAAGCTTTTTCAATTAGCAGAGGTTCCGGGCTCATGTGTCTAAACAGATCCATACTGAGGTTCCGGTGCAAATTATCAATGAGTTCGGCTGGACTGCAAACATCCTAAATTGATTTAAGGTCTCGGATGTGGTTCCATTTGAACCAGTGAACGCCACGGGACCTAGAACGCATGGTCATGAAGCCTTTGAGCACCTCCGCCGCTCTATTCACAGTCCTATAAACAAATCCCGGATCCGAAAACTGAAAACCCCTCAAGCCCTCAAGCCATCAGCCATCGGCCCTGACCGCACTGTGGAGCTCCCAATCCCCCCCCCCCCACAACGCCATCGCCTTCATCCGTGGACAAGGGCAACCCCGGTGGCTAAGGTGGCTAAGCGGTTGGTCTGGCGTTCGTGAGGTGTAGGGATGGCTATTTTGACAAAGAGGTGCTGTTTCTGTCAGGATGCTTAAGAGCTCAATTCCTGAGAAGCTTCTTCATCCGAGCCCCAGAAGCTTCGGCTTCGTAAGGGCCAGAGGCTGAGACCCGAGACCCCCAGACCCAGACCCCCCTCAAACTCCCCGGGCGGGTTATGAAAGACATCCTAGCATTAACCGGCATTTCTGCTTGGATCTTCAGATCTCGAACGGCCTTCGAACTGTGCAAAACAAACTCAGACACGCATTTCCAAAAACCATGGAGAAAGCAGGTCAACAGCTAGTGAGATTGCAAATGGAGGTCTTGTAAATTGCGTCTTCAAGGCCTGCAGCAACGCCCACCAACAAACATCAACCTCCAGGCTGCTCCGAAACATACAGTCGAATACCTGGACCGTGAGCTCTTGGCAGGTCATGGGCGGCTTGCCTGGCAAGTCTCGGACATACTTGGCGACCTTCCAGGTCTCAGTCTGCACCCTCTTTCGGGCGCTGGACAAGTACTGCGGCAGCAGATGGCACCGAACGACATAC